AAATGAAAGAAAGTCGCCTTTGCCCCCACACCCACCTCATGCCGTTCTGCCGGGCAGAGCAGAATTTGCACAGTGACCTCATTCATCCCCAGTCCAGGCCTCCTGCTTCTTCTGCCCTCCTGCTCCTTTTAGAACTTCACTGCAGGCTGGGCATGGGGGCACGTGCCTTTAACCCCAGTGTTCGCTATGTAGACCAGACTGGCCTCAAACTCACAGAGGCCCACCTGCCTCTGCCTCCTGAGTGCTGGGATTAAAGGTGTGCGCCATGTCTAGCTTACATGAACTTTGACTTAGTGGACTCAGTGATCCTTTTTTGTTTTTTGTTTTTGTTTTTGTTTTTTGTTTTTGCACATGTTTAGAGGTCTCTGTTTATACTTCTGGGTCCAGATACCTGGTAGAATTACAGTTCCTCAGGCTTTGGCTCCTGACTGGTTCTGGCCCGTAAGTTCTGAGAAGCAATGGCTTGTGTATCTCTGGAGAGGGAGATCTTGCTTGCTGTCAATTGACCTTTGGTAGGGGAGTGGGCACATTTGTGTCGGCAGCAGCCTTGGCATGTCGGTATGAAGCTGCCCTCACTCAGCACGGCCTCACTACCACACTTGGAGGGTACTGTCAACAGAGCCAACGTGTTTTGGAGTGCAGATGCATTTTTGTTTGTGTTTTGCCCAAGTCTTCTGAGAGCCTAGCACCTGCAACCTGCCTTCTGCACAGCAGGGAAAGATTGCTTGGAACATGTAACTCTGAGATGTTAAAGACCTGTGACATTCAGAAGGACCACAGATGGTCTGCGCTGAACAGAATTTATGATTGGAGACAGTACTCAGTCTGAGAGTGTGTCTTTTATTTTTACATATCATTATTAATATTACTGGCGTGTGTATGTGTGTGTGTGTGTGTGTTTGTGCATGTGCGTGTGGAGGTCAGAGGACAATGTGCCAATCAGAGGCTAACTTACTGGAGCTGCATCTCTCCTTCCACTGTGGTTCCTGGGCAGAAACCACAGGCTTGGCAGGCTTGGCAGTCGACGCTTCTATTTGCTAACTTATCTGTCTGTCTTTCTGTCTGCCTATCTATCTATCTATCTATCTATCTATCTATCTATCTATCTATCTATCTACCTACCTACGTACCTTCCGAGACAGGATTTTTCTGTGTAACAGCCTCAGCTGTCCTGGAACTCACTCTGTAGACCAGGCTGCCTCTGCCTCCCAAGTGCTGGGATTAAAGGTGTGTGCCACCACCACCCGGCTTATATTTTATTATTTTAAATTATGAGTATATGTGTGTTTGTGTGTGGGTATGTGCACATAAGTACAGGTGTCCAAGGAGGACAGAGGTGTAGGATCACTCTGGAACTGGAATTAGGTTTGTTGTGAGCTGCCTTACTAAAGTGTTGGGAATCAAACTCAGGTCCTCTGAAGAGCAGTTCCTTCTCTTACTGCTGAGTCCTAGGTGAGTCTCCAGCCCTGAGAACGCATGTTCTGCATTTCCAGTTTGCAGCTGTGCAAATATCCTGTCAGCTTTCTGTTGCTGGGAAAAATGTGTGAGAAAATCACGTTAAATGAGGAAGGGTGTGTTGGTCGCAGCCTGTGGTCTGTGGGCTCTTGGTTCTGGGCCTGTGGGGAAGGTACACCACTGCATGAAATGTGTAATGGAGGCCTCTCAGTGATGGGAAGCAGAGAGAAAATAGTGAGCAGGAGAGAGGGAGTGGCCCACTATCCTGGCCACACCCCCAAATGACCTAACTTCCTTCCATCTGGTCCCACCTGTAGCAGCAGCACCTCAGGTTGGTGAGCAAGTTAGGGCATCCGGGCCTTTGGGGGACACACTGTCCAAACTGTACCAGCCTGTTCAGTGTTCTGGATTATGCTCTATTCTTTGTTCATGAGTGTTGTTTGCATGTATTCTGCACACCATGTGTGTGCCTGGTGTCCACACAGAGGTCAGGAAAGGGTGTCAGGTCCCCTGGAACTGGAGTTATGATGGCTGTGAGCCAGCCTGTGGGAGCTGAGAACCAAACTCAGGTCCTCTGCAAGAGTAACAAATGCTCCTAACTGCTGAGCCGCCTCTCCAGCCTCGCCCCTGTTCTAGTGTTTTTGAGGAAGGAATCAGACTTTACTTCATTGCTTATTATGAATATTTATTTCTGACAGGTCTCACTATGTAGCCCTTGCTGGCCTGGAGCTCACTGTGTAGTCCAGCCTGACTGACCTTGAACTTGTGGTCCTCTTGCCGCTGCCTCCTGAGTGTGCAGAAGTGGGCACGTGACACTATGTCTAATTAGGGATTTTAAACCTAGTGTGTTGCATTTTCCACACCTATCATCTTACCAGGGGGGCTACTGATTCTCCTTTAGTAACCGGGGGGGGGGTGGGCTAGAAGTTGTTTTTTATTTATTTTAACTTTTTATTTATTTTTTGTGGCTTTCACATGTAGAGGTTATTATTATTTTTTTAATCAAGCAAAATTTGAAGGATTCACACCCAAGCACCTGCTGCCACCTGGTGGCAGTATCCCAGGATTGCAGGGTCTTTCGGTGGACCAGAATTCAGTTTGTCTTGAATTTTATAGGTTCACTTTGTAGTCAGTGCATTTATTACAGATGTACAGTATGACCAGCCTAGGTGTGTGCAATCAATGAGTTTCTGCTTATAGAGATGCAGACGAGAAGACTGTGCAGTGTGTAATCAACGGACAGCAGACTTTGTAGTGCACCGTGGATCCGAGACCAACCTGCCAGCATCTCCTGCTTCTGTGACTGAGGCAGGAGAGCAGCCTTCTTTAGCCCACAGAATTGGGATGTACCTGGGACAAACCTTTTATATTTCAAGTTAACCCAGGTTCACTGTTCATACTGATTTTTTTTTAATGTACATTGGTGTTTTGCCTGCATGTATGTCTGTGTGAGGGTGTCACATATTGTAGTTACAGACAGTTGTGAGCTGCCGTGTGGGTGCTGGGAATTGAACCTAGATCCTCCAGAAGAGCAGTCAGTATTTTTTTTTTTCCGAGACAAGGTTTCTCTGTGAAACAGTCCTGGTTGTCCTGGAACTCACTCTGCAGACCAGGCTGACCTCAGACTCACAGAAATCCACCTGCCTCTGCCTCCTGAGTGCTGAGATTACAGGCTTTCGCCACCACTGCCTGGCTGCAGTCGGTGCTCTTTAACTGCTGAGCCATCTCTCCAAACCCCCTTGTATTGATTTTTAAATCAAGTTTCTAATGATTAAAATCTGGAGTCAAAAACCATTTTCGTCTGAAAGTAATTCCAAAAAAAAACCCTACACTTACCGGTTTGATTGCTAGCTTTGCTGTTTGAGATGTAGCTGCGTTTGATCTGGAGTGTAATTGTGTGAGTGTGATGTAAGATTGTGCCATAGCTGATGTGTTCCTGGACGTACAGCCTACAATGTGTAGGACTGAGTCATGGCTGGTGCATTTCTGGACGTACAGCCTACAGTGTGTAGGATTGTGTCATGGCCAATGCGTTCCTGGACATACAGCCTACAGTGTGTAGGACTGCGCCATAGCTGATGCATTCCTGGACGTACAGCCTACAGTGTGTAGGACTGCGCCATAGCTGATGCATTCCTGGACGTACAGCCTACAGTGTGTAGGTTTGTGTCATGGCTGATGCATTCCTGGACATACAGCCTACAGTGTGTAGGATTGTGTCATGGCTGGTGCATTTCTGGACTTAGAGTCCATAATCTTCTGGTGGTTTTGGAGAGAAGATGATTACTGAAACATCAATCATTTGTTTCTATAAATGTTTCATAATGCAAATTGAATGTGATGAAATATTAAAAATATCATTCATTAATTATTGAAAAGTTCAGTCTCTGGAAATGGCCGTATCTCTCATTATACTGCCAGCTTAAAGGAGCAATCGAGAACTTTTGGATTATAAAATTAGAATGCTGGGATGGTGGTGGAATGAATCGCCACACAGTTATTTTCTCCTCTGCAACTTGTTCCCTGTTTTCAGCTGCAGCCTTTCCTTCTTTAAGGTGGCAGCAGGTGCCCTGCGCTTTGCGTGGCTTCATGGATTTGCATTCCTGTTGTGTTGGAAAAAACAAGGTGATGTCCTCATTTTAAGCCAACAGTTTTATGGACTCAAATACTGGAATAAAATTCAATTTTACTTTATTAAGCTTGTAATTTTATTAGTAAAACAAAGTATTAATACAAGTCAGTATGAAATCTTACTATTACTTGCAAATCAAACTAGAAGTTGGCCTTGTAAAATGTGAGACTGGAGTGTGATGCAGTGGTGTGCAGCTGTGATCCCAGCAGTTTGGGAGGCAGAAGCAGGAGGATTGAATTTGAGGCCAGCCTGGGCTACATAGCCTGGCGAGGCGGGGGTAGGGGAAGAGAACACTAAAATTAGAGGTTGTTGAGAAGTGACAGGGTGTTCAGAGTTTGTGAGTAATTTACAGTGCCATTTGCCGCCCCCCCCCCAGGTGTGTCCCAGCCTCCCTCCCAGTACAGTTTGTGTAAAACACTTGTGGGGAAGAGACCAGGATCTCGGCAGTGGGTGAAGCAGTGGCCCAGCCCATTGCGTAGCAGAGTTGCCCTCTGTTCCATGAACCCTGTGATAGAAGGCTGGCCGATGCTGCTTGTGAGCCTTCCTCCGTTCCATCCTGTTGCTGCTGTGGGGGAGGAGGGTGGGCAGGGGGAGGAGGGTGGGCAGGCTGACCTAGCTGAGTCCTCCTCTGTGTCAGAGCTCCTGCCCCAGGAGTAGCTTGTGGAGGGAAGGCGTCAGTTTTTGTCTCTGTGATCTGGGTTGGATTTCATGTGGGGTCTTCCCATCACCAACCCGCAGTTCATCTTTTTCCAGAGGATCAATCTCTTTTGACCTTATTGATTTATGTGCCTGTGACTTTTCTTCACATGTGCACATGCGTGTGTGTGGAAGCCGACACATGTCGTCTTCCGAGGCGGCACGTGTTAGAGCAGCCATCCTAGTCTCACCAGTGTCTCTCTTTGTCCCCACGCAGTGAACAAGCACAAGCCACAGCTGGAGCCCACCTACCACGGCATAGTCACTGAGAACGATAACACGGTGCTGCTCGACCCCCCGCTCATCGCCCTGGATAAAGATTCACCGCTGCGGTTTGCAGGTACGTGGCCGGCTGTTCACTGTCTCAAGCTTGGCCTGCATAGGAAGCAGCTTACATCTGGCTGGATGACTGGACCTTCAGGAAGGTAGCTGAGAGCTGCTTGTGGCTCCAGGCGCCACATGTTCTCCTTTTAATCGTCGGGGTAGCTGACGCAGAGCTGCTGTGCCGGTTGAAGGGGGAAATGCTTAACTTAATTGCATCATTACGTGCTCTGTCTTGTGCAGATAGACAGATACCGTCTAGACAAGGGCAGCCAGACAGAGCTCGCCAGACTACATGAGCGCTGTTCAGTCCAATGTCAATGTGGAGGGCCGGGGACCCCGGGCTCTGTGGCTTGCACTCATATCCAGGTGCTCAGACGCCAGTGTCGCTTCATTCCATGTACCCTTCCTTTGTTCCATTGTCTGCACAGACTCACGAAAAGTTGAGCCGTCTCTGTGGGGAAATACTTTTGGCCTAGATTTACTTTCTTTTTCTCAGTCTTTAAATTTTACTGAATTAAATTTTTTTCTATAGATTTATGTGTATGAATGTTTTGCCTGCATGTATGTGTGTGGAGCATGTGAATGCCTGGTGCCCACAGAGGTCAGAAGAGGCATCAGAGCCCCTGGAACTGGAGCTATGGATGCTGGGATTCAAACCTAGCTCCTCTGCAAAAGCAGCAAGTGCTCTTAACCACGGAGTCATGTCTCCAGCCCCTCTTTCTGTGGTTTAAAATCATGTATGGTATTGTGTAATTTAAGGGACATACATTGCATCCTGAGCACAGTCTCCATTTGTGTGTGTGTTTTGTTTTTTGGGTTTTTTTGTTTTTTGAGACACAGTTTCTCTGTGTAACACCCTGGCTATCCTGGAACTAATGCTATAGACCAGGCTGGCCTCAAACTCATATAGATCTGCCTGACTCTGTCTCTGGAGTGCTGGGATTAAAGGCGTGTGCCACCACTGCCCAGTATTTGTTTATTTTTTTAACAGGCATGTACCACTATGTCCAGCTTACTGTATTTACTTTTTTTTAAAAAAATTTACTTTTACTTTATTTTTGTGCATATGGGTGTTTTACCTGCGCACCACATGCATGCAGCACCCAAGGAGAACAGCAGAGGGTGTTAGATTCCCTGGAACTGGAGTTAGAGATGGTTGTAAGTGAGCGTTCGAGTGCTGGGAACCAGACCTAGGTCCTCTGCAAGAGCAGCGAGTGCCTTTAACCACTGAGCCATCTCTCCAGCCCACTTTTTTTGTTTGTTTGGTTGTTTTTATTTTGAGACAGGTTTTGCTGTCTGGCGTCAAACTTGTCATCCTCCTGCCTCAGCCTTTTGAGGGCTGAGATGGCGGGCATGCACAACATCTGGCTTACTAAAGTTAACAAATGTTTAATTTGAGTTATTTTATAAGATCGTATCCTGTGTCTTTGCAGAAAAGAATCTGTAGGATAGTGCCAGCAATTTTGATCGTGTGGTAACTTTCCTACATTGCTGACATTTAGTGGCATTTTCCAGTCAGGTCTATTCCGCAATCATGTCAGCCTGGACTGGTAAAAGGCAGGACTTTCTCAGTCCCAGAGTTATACAAACGCTGGGATTACATGTGCATGTGTAAGGCTGTGTCCAGCTTTTAAAGTTTTCTTTTTTTCTTTTCAGTTTGTTTTTAATGCATTAGCAAGGGGAAGAGTGTTTGTTTATTTATTATTTATTATGTATTCAGTGTTCTGCCTGCATGTATTCTTCACTCCAGAAGAGGGCACCAGATCTCATTATAGATGAGATGGTTGTGAGCTGCCATGTGGTTGCTGGGAATTGAACTCAGGTCCTCTGGAAAAGCAGCCAGTGCTCTTAACCTCTGAGCCATCTCTCCAGCCCTCTTTTCAGTTTTTTAAAACTTTATGTATATGAGTGTTTTGCCTGCATGTGTGTGCAAGTGTGTTAGGCAGAAGAGGGTGTCGGATCCCCCGGAACTGTAGTTACAGGTGTTTGTCAGCTGCCATGGGGGTGCTGGGAATTGAACCCAGGTCCTCTGCAAGAGCTGCAAGAGCTCTTAACCACTGAGCCATCTCTCCAGCCCTGTATCCAGCTCTTCAGCCCTGTGTGGGTTCTGGGAATCCAAACCTCTGGTCGTCAACTTCTTTACCCACTGAACCATTCTTCAGCCCAGAACAACCTTTTGCACATGAGTGCAGGTACCTGCAGAAGCCAGGAGAGAGTGTTGGATTTTTAAGTCGGAGTTCTAGGCTCCACTGTGTTTTTTTAAGTAATTATAGTTGCTCCTCCTGTATGTGACATTTAGAGCTACATCACAGTCTGAGTGTGGTTGCCTAGGATGTGCTTTGAGTGGATTTATATACACTCCTGCACTTTTAAGAAGTGGTGTAGAGGCCTAGGGATATGGCTCAGTTGTTAAGAACACCTTTTGCGCCGGGCGGTGGTGCCTCACGCCTTTAATCCCAGCACTCGGGAGGCAGAGCCAGGCGAATCTCTGTGAGTTCAAGGCCAGCCTGGGCTACCAAGTGAGTTCCAGGAAAGGTGCAAAGCTACATAGAGAAACCCTGTCTCGAAAAAACAAAAAAAAACAAAAAACCAAAAAAACCCACCTTTTGCTCTTGTGGAATATCAGGATTCAATTCCCAGCATCACATGGTGACTCACAGCTGGAACTCCAGGTCCAAGGAATCTGGGAATACAGTGCCCTCTTGCTTCTGAGGGAAACAGGCATACACATGGTGCACATTCATACATGTAGGCAAAAACACTCTAATACATAAAATAAAAACAAAATGTTTCTAAAAGAATAAAATTAAAAAAAAAAAAAAAGAGTAGTAACTCGGACTGGGAATGAGCGTGCTTGGCAGCACAAACCTTGACTTCACATCCCAGAGCCATGGAGCATGTTACGGTGGCACATGCTTTCAATCCCCTCAGCATTGGTGAGGCAGAGGCAGGAGGAGTCAACAGTCAGGGCCATTCTCTGCTGTGCAGTGTTTGAGGAAGACCAGCCTGCACTGTATGAGACCTTCTCTCAGGACTAAACAATGGAGAAATGACTGCAGTTGTGGGTTCTGCGTTGTCTCCTCCTGCCTTGATTTACCAAGCGTGGCCAGCTGTGTGCGGTCTGTTGGGGGGGCTCAGTCCTACTACACGGCTAATAATACATTTGCGCCTAAGCATCAAGAATAGATTCCAGGCACAACTCCAAGTGCGTTATAAATAAAAATGTGTATTTAATTCTCCACCACTTGAAGGAAGGATGTTTTCTGCCAGCCTCATTTTAAAGAGAGGAAGCTCAGGGGTTGGAGAGATGGCTCAGTGGTTAAGAGCACAGGCTGCTTTTCCAGAGGAGCCAGGTTTATTCCCAGAGCCTACATGGTAGCTCACACCCACCATCTGTAACTCTGGTCCCCAGGGATCTGATGCTCTCTTCTGGCCTCTATGGGTCCCAGGCACACATTGGTGCACAGACATACATGCAAAGCAACACACGCCACATAAAATAACAAGAAGTGTTTTTAAAGAGAGAGAGAGGGAGTTGAGGCCCAGAGCGGTTAAACTGTCCACTCTGCTTTAGAGGTGAGCTTCTAACTCAGGCTGGACAGCGAGCGGACCGTTTGTCACAGTGATGCTTATAACTACAGGAAGTCAGAAAGGGACAAAGATAAACTGGACATCACATACTAACCGAAGGGAAGCTTATGTAAGAAGTCTTCTTTTATTTATTATTATTATTATTATTTGGGTGTGGGTTGGTTGGTTGGTTGTTTTTTTGTTTGTTTGTTTGTTTGTTTTTGTTGTTGTTTTTTTGAGACAGGGTTTCAATGTGTAGCCCTGGCTGTCCTGAAAATCTCAATGTAGACCAGGCTGTCCTTGAACTCACAGAGATCTGCCTGCCTCTGCTAGGATTACAAGTATGTGCCACCGTGCCCAGCACGATTTAATTTTACTGCCGGGCGGTGGTGGCACACACCTTTAATCCCAGCACTTGGGAGGCAGAGGCAGATGGATCTCAGAGTTCGAGGCCAGCCTGGTCTACAGAGCAAGTTCCAGGACAGGCAGAGCTACACAGAGAAACCTTGTCTTGAAAAAAAAAAAAAACAAAAAAAAGATTTAATTTTATTGTATCATTTATCAAATGTATTTGGAATGAAGCAATATGGTTTCAGGGGTCCTTGGTTATTTTTTATTGACACATAAAAATCATAAGTTGAGATAAACTATTCAGAGAAGCAGTTCAGAACCAAACCACGGTGTGTGTAACTAGACTGACCTTCTGCAGGAGACATGAACGTCACCCTTTGTCTCCTGGAGATCTTTGGGAAGCACAATTATTCATAGATTCATTTTTGTTTTGAGAGAGAGAGAGAGGGTCTCACTGTGTAGCTCTGGCTGTCCTGGAACTCACTCTGTAGCCCAGGCTGGCCTCCAACTCACAGAGATCTGCCTGCCTCTGTGTCTTAAGTGCTGGGATTAAAGGTGTGTGCCCTACAGCTTATCTTTTTTCTTTTTCTTTTTCTAAACATGTAATTCATGTACCACAAAAGTCACCCTTTGTAATTCACTGAATTTTAAAATACTATGTTCACAAGACTGTTCAATCATCTCCTTCAAGAACATTTTCATCACTTCAAGAAGCAACCCTTGCCCCAATTAACAGCCCTCCACGGTGTCCTCTTGGCCCCTGGCAACTGCCATGGCTTTCCTTGTTCTGGCTGTTTCCTATGTGGTTATGTCCGGTGTTTAGTAACTGCTGTTGATTTCAGGGTTCATCCATGCGGTGGTGTCTGCCAGTCCTTGTCCAACCCTTTAATTGCTGGGTAACATTCCCTTGTATGGACAGGCTACATTCTGTTTGCCCACTCATCCATTGGTAGACATTTGCATTATTCCACATTTTGGCTATTATGTGGATGTGTACTGTTGACTGCAGCATGGGCCTTGACCTTGTGCCTGAGGCCTGAGCAGGTGTGTGGTGTGTGGAAGGGAGTACCCGCCCAGCCATTCTCCCTCTTTGGT